AAAAAGGTAAAAAAAAAAAAAAGTTTGTTCTTGGAATTTATATTATTTTTGAATATTTTCAAGCTGTGGGTGGTTGAATCCGTGGACAAAAAATCCATGGATACAGAGGGCCAGCATGACATCCACATGTACAAGTATGGACCACTGCATTAAGGAAAAAGACTTCTGTGTTGTGGAACGCTGGACCTGGAACTGCGTCCGTGGGTCTCTCCTATGGCTGAAACCCAGGCCCTCCGGGAAGATTCGTGGAAGTTTGTGATCCCCTCTTCTGTTACTGAATGGTCATTTTCGCTCCATGGACGGACAATTCTCTCTTCTTGGTCTCACTGCTTCAGCACACAGTTGCCATTTCTGATGGCTGGATAGTTTAGCAAACAAGGCGTTTATTCGCTGACCTTGTGGACAGTTGGGGTGGGATGTCGGACCTACTACCTAAGGCCTGTAGTTTGAGGAGGGAGGGAGGGTGGATGGGGGGGTCTTTAATGAAGATTGGAATAATGGTTCCCTTGTTCAAAATGCAGTTTAGGTTCAATAAATTGGAACACCAATGAAAACAATGTTATTGTGTTGTTTTTTCAGGTCACTTGAAATGCTAACAAATTGCATACTCAGAAGGGCAATCATGGAACTTGAGGTGTCATAGGATCCTAGAATCCAATTCAATCTCGTTCTTCTGCCATGCAGAAATAAGCAACCAAAGAACACCTGAGAGATGGCCATCCTGCCTCTGTTTAAAAGCCTCCAAAGAAGGAGACTCCATCACTTTTATCATCTGCTACCAAACATCTCTTTGCCATCAGGAAATTCTTCTTAATGTTGAGCTGGAATCTCTTCTCCTGTAGTTGGCATCCATTGAGGCTCCATTGTTTCCTATTCTCTGGAGCAGCAGAAAACAAGCTTGCTTCCTCCTCAATGTGACACCCCTTCAAATACTTAAAATAGGGCTATCATATCACCCCTTGACTGTCTCTTCTCCAGGCTGAACATACCCAGATCCTTATGTCTTTCCTCATAGGGTTTCATGATTTCCAGACCTTCCACCATTTTGATCACCCTCCTCTGGACTCTTGAAATGTAAATTTGTGGATGGAGCAGGAGACCGACACAGAAGATGATGATGGGCCATTTTCTGCTGATGGAGATGTCCTTAGAAGCTGTGAAAATAATGTCAGACCAGTAAAGCAGTAAAAAGGCTGAGATGGTCCCCATAGTGGGATGTTTTGGGGCCTTCCTGATCCCGAGGAGGGAGGGCTGCTCTTTGGCGAGGAAAAACATCTCCAAAATGGCTCTGAGAGGCCGGCCCCATCGCAGTTCACTCTAAAATGGTGGCATTATTTACCTCAGACACAGAAAAGCTGAAATTCAGAGCCCTTTCCTCTCCTCAGAAAAAGGAGGAGGCCGACACTCCCTGGTTATTTTATTTTATTTCTGAGGTGAGCCTTTGGCCCCTTCAGAAAGGAAGGATCTTCTGTCTTTGGAAGAAATTAAAGAAATGTAGAACTTTCCCCCCAGAAAGAAGAGATTTATTATTCATCAGGGAGCTTGTTCTGGACAGAGACTGACTTTAACTACCATGGCAGGAATCTGTAGTTTTCATAAGCTATTTAGCATTTCCCTGCCAGAGGGATCTAGTGTCTTGCCAACTACAGATCCCAGGATTCCAGAGGACGCATCCGTGACAATTAAAGTGGGATCGAATGGTGTAATAGTGTGG